CACTGAGTTTACGTATACAATAAACAATTCCCACTGGTCTTACCCCTTCTCTTCCTATACGGAACTGGGCGTGATAACTGTAGTGCTCTGAACACACCCACGGCCTAGATCCCTAAAATTTCACCTATAGTACGGGGGTATTTGTGAGTGGTATGATTGGCACAACATTGCGACCGAATATGGTGGAAGGAGTGTCAGGGCAAGGCGTGTGGTGAGTAAATGCAGCGGGTTCTGTGGTGTGGGGCTCTTAAGTCAAGGAGGCTCGGAAAATTCACCGCCACGTCACCAAGAGCAAGCAGGGGATAAGAATCGAATCTCGGTGGAAGGCGACAAAATGCGTTCCCCGAATTGGCGGGGACATCCCTGGCGGTGGCTTAAATGAATCCACAAATACACGGGGAGGAAAAAGGGGGAACTTGTTGGAGTCACGAGAAAACTTACTGATATCTGTTAGGAGGGCCTTTAGACCCTGCTCCTCGTCTACGCCAGTCTCCTGGTATATCTGTTCTCGTTCATCGGCCGAAAGTTTCTCTTCATCCGACGAGGAGTCAGTGATGTAGTCGACCTAGGCATTTCAAAGGGAAAAGCAAATGAAGGACAGGGGAAAGAAGAAGAGGGAAGTGAAAGACGTAGAGAGGAGCAGATTAAAATATTATACATGTACACATTTATGTTCTGTAAGCAGATCGGTGAGCCCCACAGTAGCGTCATATTCCCGATTACAATCGCCCGTGGCTCAATGTTGCTGTTACAATCAATGACCAAATGGTCGAGGGTTCGAACTTGGATCCACACCTGGTGTTGAGTAGGACTGGCTGATGATGGTTAACAAGCCAGAAATGGCCATCGCGGCTGCCCCTGTCTTTGAGAGTACCATTTATTTGCATGTACATTTTGCGTTAAAAGGATGGAAATTGAGATGATTTCGCAATCAAAAGTCTAAATAAAGTAAATAACCCCTTGCAATAAGTGAGACGTACTAGTATCCCAAGATAAATAAAAGTTACTTGACCTTTAGCCAGGTATTTCTGGGGTGTCGTACTTTCGATAGTGAAAGGCTATAGTGCTTCTGTACAATATTGCTTGTTAATCCATTTTTTTCGAGATGAGAGCAAATCGGCCGTTCACGAAACCTAAGGATTTAATTATCATTTCCGAGAATCCTCCCCTACCACTCCAAAATAAATAATAATAATCACACGATCAGCTCATCAGAGCTTACGTCCACAGCATGAGTGGAGAGTTATGTACTGAGAGCACAGCTTGAAACTAGGCTCACACCTGTTGTGTAGATAAAATGTGCGTCGCCAATCGGCGGCTACTTCATGTGTGTTTTTGAGCAGGGGCATTGCTACAAACCTTTTGGAGGGCGCAACCCTTTCGGGACGACAACAGACAAGCTGGACGCCTAGCCAATTAGCCAACGCAAAGGTGATAAGTAACATGAGGAAGATGATTTTGACAAATGCAGGGGAAACCGCCATGGTTATTAGTGGTTTGCTTGTTGTCAGTTTGCCAGATATTTGAGATTTTAACTCGAATCAGTAAGGCCTCGAGCTTAGCGTTTTTCTGAAGCAACTCTTACTTGCCTGCACGGCCTAACTGGTGGTGCATGTGGGTCAAGGAGAAACTAGAACCGGGTTTAAATCTCACGTCTTTCCGACCCGGAGTGTAGGGGCATGTCTGGCTGACGACGGCCAATAAATATGACATGACTCCATGAGAC